ATACCAAGATTCCTGGGGCGATCCATATGGAGATCCCATTTTTGTATTTTTTATTAAAATACTCCCTACCCCGTATGCCACTACAGTGTTTCTGAGATCCTTCCCGTCCAGTGCTGGCCTTGAAATACACGCAATTCTCAGTACAATTCTCGAAAATTAACGACTCTTGCAGTAAGAAGCATACCCACGATGATCAAAAATAATATCTGAAAGCACATGCAAATTTAGTGCAACACACTATTGGGAGGATGATCTTTGGTCGCTTTGGACGCGTTATCACCGAGAAGACAGTTGATGAGTGCTCGGTTTGAGTGGGAGAAGGCCTGATCGGACAAGATCAGCTCCTTCACATTTCGGAAATCCTCGCTGAGGAAGTGCAGCGTTCGGCGCAGTGCCTCGCATTCCTCGGTCAGCTCTTTGATGAGTTTCTCCTGCGCAGCAATGCGTCGCTCATAGGCCAGCATCTGCTCCTTGTGCCTGGCACGATAGGCACGTGCGTACATGGCCTGCTTCGAGTGGCTGGTGATTTTTACCGGGCGTCCGCGTTGTCTCGGCACTGGCGATTGTCCATGGGTCTGAGCATCGGAGAAGCTGTTATCCGTGATCCCAGAGAGCATTGGCTCAACATCAGAATGTGTCGGAAGAGCTTTTACGGGGTCAGTGAGCCGCGACGGTGACGAAAGCGGCGACAGTGCCGTCTGCGATGGGAAATGCGCTAAATTATTGTTCGCTGTTGACTCAGCTTCTAACGAAAGCTCACCGGAGAACATGCTCGAGCGCCGGGTTGTCACTTTTCGATACGGACTGTACCGATGGTCCTCCTTCTGGTCGCCTGACCACACCGGCAACATCGGGTCCTCGTCGCTGAGCAAAGCACTGTGTCGTTTCGACTTCGCCGTCACGCCCTCATCATCCGACATGCAATACGCTTCCCACAACATCGCCTGAAATATTGCAAATCGGGTCAATTACAGCGCAATAAATGCAAAACTGCAATAGCCTCCACCTATCACAGAAATTTTACAAACAGGAAAATCCAAGAAATCAGAGGGCGCCCAGAAAAAAATGACAATTTCTTGCTTCTTCCCTTGTGATGCTGCAAATCGAGTCAATTATGACGAAATATGAACAAAAATAGGAACAGTGTTCAGCTATCACAGAAATTTTATAGCCAGGAAAATCCAAGAAAACGGAGGATGCAACGAAAGAACTTCAATTTCTTGCCTTTTTGTTGCAGATCGGGTCAATTACGACAAAATACGAGCAAAAATAGGAACAGTGTCTAGCTATCACAGAAATTTCAGGGGATGCCCGGGAGGAACGTCAATTTCTTGCCTTTCCCCTTCTCATGTTGCAAATCGGGTCAATTACGACAAAATACGAGCAAAAGCAGGAACAGTGTTTAGCTATCACAGAAATTTTATAGCCAGGAAAATCTAAGAAATCAGAGGGCGCCCAGAAAAAATCGACAATTTCTTGCCTTTTCCCCTATGATGTTGCAAATCCGATCAATTACGACGAAATACGAGCAAAAATAAGAACAGCGTTCAGTTATCACAGAAATTTAACAACCAAAAAAATCCAAAAAACCAGGGGGTCGCCAGGAGGAACGTCAATTCCTTACCTTTTCCCTTCTGAAATGTTACCTGAGAAATGTTCGCGCAAAACGTACACTATTCGTTTCGATGACAAATTGGTAGTGACGTCACCAGCAAGCCAGAACCAGCCAAGCAGTTCACCGATAGGTGCCGTTCAGCGACAATCGAGCCACACACTTCACAAAGCCCGCACTTCCTGCAGAGAACTTGAAATATCCCCAAAAATCAAAGATGCAACAAAACAACAACAACAACGAGTCCCAGTAACAGACCACCAAACCGTCCACAACCGCGCGACGCAGCAGAATAGTCGCACAACCACAAGCAATTGGCAACGAGCCAAAACTACGAAAATACCAAAAGCACAGAGTGAAAGGAGTCGCTTCGAGAACCTGGAGGCGCACTATTTGAACGCAACCCGACAAACCCTTTAAATACCCCTCAACAAGCAAAATCGTAGACGGATCCAGGGCGGTCTCCCGGGAGGGGCGGGGCGTTTTTTCACCTCTCCTCCTCCTTTAGCTACTGCAACCTCCTCCCGGCCAGCTCATAATCCACTTCTGAATCGTCCCGCTACTCCCCCCTCCTCCCTTCC